CTGTAATATAATATATATTTATTTTTTATAATAATTCACGCTAATCATCGATATTTTAACGTTAACGAACTACCGATTCATTTTTTTTTTTCAATTTTACCAAAACTATACATATATATATATTAAGCTATAATTTATCAATGGTCTCTCTCTCTCTCTGTCTCTCTCTCTCTTTCTCCAAGCTTTTCTTCTTGCAAATTTCGTTTTCTTTCTTTCTTCTTTTCTCTCTCTCTCTCTCTCTCTCTCTCTCTTTTTTTCCATACGAATCTCAAACGAAACTACCGAGACCAGGGAAGGCAGTTAACTCCCTTTTTCGTTACGAATAAATTTCCTTGCCTTCCGTAGCAAACGATACTTTATTCCCTCCTCTTTATATTCCTCCTTCTTCTCTTCTTCTTTTTTCTTCCTCCTTCTCTTCTCCTCCCTCGTTCCCTTGACCACCTCTTACTCATTCCCACTCCCCTTTCTCCCGTATTATCATCATATAAATATATACACAACCGCAAATATTTGGATACCACGTGTGGATATCGCAATGGCCACTGATACGCATTTTAAAAAATTTCACTTCCTTTACCTACCGGATGTTTAAAATGGTTTTGGTAATAAATACAAGAAAAATGGAATATCGATATAGGACGAGGAGAAGGAGAAGGGGAAGGGGAGGTATGGGATATCGAGGTGTATATTGGGTACCGGAAAGATACATCGAGACTACCGCTTATTGTTAAACGATAAAGCAACGTTGCTTTATCGAAATCGCATTTGCGGAAAGATAAATAGAGAGAAAGAAAGAGAGAGAGAGAGAGAGAGAGAGAGAGAGAGAGAGAGAGAGAGAGAGAGAGAGAGAAAATAAAATGTAATTTCGATTTAAAATTGCTCGTTTCGACAAGCAATTTTTATTAATTCTCTTTCTCTCTTTATTTCTCTCCTTCTCTCGTATCGTAATATCACGAAAAAAAAAAAAGAGAAAGAAAAAGGATAGAAAAGCAAATGAAAGAAAATTAATTAGTTACAATACAATCGAACCATCGTAATCGAATTTCTCATGTATTTCGAGTTGACAAAGAGACAACGGGAGGAAGAAATAAAATTCTCATTTTTTTGTTACCTTGTCGTGGTTAAATTAAAGGAGAGGGGAGGGACGAATTTTTGTGGAGTCCTGGACGAATTTTTGTGTTCTTCTGTTTCGAAAAAAAAACAAACGAAAAAACAGGATAAAGAAAATAAAAATGAAGAACAAATAGAGAGAGAGAGAGAGAGAGAGAGAGAGAGAGAGAGAGAGAGAGAGAGAGAGAAAAAAGGAAAATAGTCGTGTCGTAGAACGAGAGAGTAACAACCACGAGATAAAATGATTTTATCGGAGGGGAATAAACTCGATGTTCTCTCGTCACTTTCGAACCGATAGATTTCTCTCGTATCTATAACTGTAAGTCTACGTGTGTCGTCGTAAAGAGAGGCGTTCCGATTTCGAATTTATTGGAAATTCAGATGGTTTTTGATATAACGGAGGTAGTGGGGTTTTTTTACGAATAATGGCGAAGTGAAAGAAAGTAAGAGAAAGAGAGAGAGAGAGAGAAGAAAGAGGATAAAGTAAAGTTAAAGATAAAATATCGCTTCCTTATCGGTACGATAAGCCCCGAGAATTTAAGTTCTCTCGGTAGGCTCTATTTATTTTAACGACTGCCACGAAAAGAGCCATTAAATCCCTCCTTGCGCGGGGATCCATCCCTCGACGTTTTGCTCATTTAATGCTGCATATTATCCTGCTTTATCCGCGACAATGAATGCAACATCAACGAAACACGGCTGAATAAATCGTAGATCTTCCCATCTCATTTGAGGGACACGATCGTTTTTCGTACGACGAGTGCTTGCAAAAAAAAAAAAAAAAAAAAAAAAAGAAAAAGAAAAAGTAAATTGAGAGAAATAGAGAGAGAGAGGGGGGGGGGGGGGAGGGGGAGAGAAAGTTAATCACAACGATTAAGAGCAAGATATAAAAATTAATATCTCGGGATAAAACGCAATTGAAGTTCTTCGTTTTTAATGTACGTGCTGTATCTATTGTACTTGCATAAAAACGGAAGAGAAAAAGAATTAAAAACAAGAAAAAAGAAAAAGAAAATAAAAAAGAAGAAAAAAACAAAAAAAAAAAAAGACAAAAAGGAAGAACGAAAAATAGAAGAAGAAAAAAAAAAAGAAATAAAAGAGTACGATAAAATCGGCGACTTCGCTAAACCGCATTTCACTCTTTATGCCGATCGATCGACGACAATTTCGTTCGAAACGAACGGGGTTATGAGTTGTAAAATTTGACAATTGCCGATCTTTTTATCGCTTTTAAAATTTACTCGGTCTTACTTTGTCTTCTTTGCCTCCACACACCCCTATTATTCATCCCTTCCTCCCATAGATCTTTTCTTGCCAATGTGTGCGCAAGTACGTATGGTACGTGGGTGATACGCACATAGATCGAGAATTCACTTCGATTTGCCTCCCC